AAAATTTAAAGATTTTATTAAATCTAGAGTCTAGGTTGTATCAATCAGACATTTACTATTTAAGATAAAATTTAAAATCCCACGTTTTATCAAAATTCAAGGTCTCTATATAAAAATAAAATACTTGAAAGCTTAAAAAAGCTTTACAAAATTTGACAGTTTACTTTACTGCTGGAATTGGAAATTTTTTTTTCAAATTCAATAGAATTGGAAATAAAAAAATAAAAGAATTCATTTAAGAACAATTTGTAGTAGGTTAAACTCTGGCTACCAGGTTTTTATTTAAAAAAAAAAAAAAAACTCGATCAAGGGAAAAAAAATTTAAAATAATTTTTTTTTTTTGGGAGAAATCGATTAAATACTTATTATTGATGGGAAGCCATGAAACAATTTAAGCCTTTTTGTGTTAAAAAATTTAAAACCTTATTTATTTGTATTGAATAAAAGACCTTATTAGTAAAATTTATTACAAATAATCAATTAAACTATTTTTGGTATAAAAAACAAAAAAAATTGTTTTTAGATTGACGTCTACATAGTATATAATGTTTCTATTATTTTTTTTTGAAAAATACATAATTATTCGTATTGTATTCTCGGTTATATCTATATATCTAATTAATTTTTTATATATTTGAGCGTTCAAATTTCTCTTTTTGTCGTCGAATTTTTTATTTAAGAAATCTGTTATTGTATAATTATTAAAAAAAAATAAAAAAAAGTTCCATATCCGGTGAGAAAAAGGCAGAAGTAAAATATTGAGATTATGTGCTTTATGTGTAACGCTAATTGGGGAGGTACACAATTTTATTTTTAATAGTGAGATAAATAATTACAATGGCTTTTAATAGAATTTTATTTTTTTTTTTTTTTTGTTAAACGATCGTCGATTGTGGTCTCTTACAAAAAAAATTTAGATTTTTAGTCGTTCTAGTCAAAACAAAAAAGGGGTCGTATTATTTGTTTATTTAATTATGTATTATTCTCGTGAGTGGCTTCTATAAATATACTTTTTTTTTTTTTTTTGCGACTGTTGTCATATATATATATATATTGAAAGCGTTTGTCAAAGTTATTAGTACTCGATTTGTCAAAGTTTCTTTACATATTTTTAACATGTGACAGTGACGCTATTTGTTAGTTTTGATACCAAAAAATACCATTTCTCGTCCACGTGATGGCTAAAAATTATGTTGTGTCTAAGTTATGAGCACCTAGTAGTAACTTCTAAGAGTTAAAGTTTGGATGTTGCTTTTTAATATTATCCCAGTTGTTTATGAATTCAAGATTCCGTATAATTTATTTAAAATCATTAAAATGATTTCATATGGAGATGAAAAATCAATAAAATCGGAATCCTTTAAGTTTCCCAAATCATTAAAAATTTCTTTAGCCTAAACAAAAAATTTCGGGTTGTGATTTGTGTTGAGATTTAAATCAAAATTTAAATTTTGAACAAAGTCAACAAAAAAAATAATAATAATAAAAATAAAATTTTGAAGAATATGAAACCGACCATATATTTACTAAATAGCGTATCTTATATCCCTTGTATTGTTTTTAGATTAAATTCAAAATAAAATTGAAAAAGAACCTAAATTTTTTTTTTTTTTACCAAGTCGCTATATTTTTATGGTGGTAATTACCATCAATAAGTCATTAAAATTATATTTCTATTTGTTTTCTTTTTTTTTTGCTTTTTTTTTGCTTTTTTTGCAACAAAAAATCGATTTTCTATGTTTTAAAACTGAAATAAAAACAATTGTGATAGTTTAAAAATTAAAAATTAAAGTTAAAATTTTTATTCATCTTGATATATTTCCGTAATTATGCGTATTTTTTTTTATTACATTTAAAAAGAAAATAACTTTCAGAGATTGCGTAGTTTGAGTTGCGTGTGCATTATAAAAAAATCAATAATTTAAAAACCCACTCTTTTGTGACATACATCAAATAAAACAATCTAAAAAAAAATTATTATTATTTATTTATTTATTTATTTATTTTTACTTTCTTAATTATATTCAAAAGGCAAATATTAATAATTTTATTTTGTACACTTTATAGTTAATTATAATACTATTATTTTTCTTGTTCGAGTGAAAAAAAAAAAAAAATTTCTCAAACTGAATTAAGTAAAAATTAATATAAGTAAATTGACTCCTTGTCCATTTTTTTAAAAAATTTGTTATAATAATGATAATTATTAATTTATTTTATTTTCATTCTTCATACATGTTTAAATGAATGAAAAAAAAACTCGAAATCATAATTTTTTTTCTTTATTTCCTCAGTAAAATATTTTTTTAATTTTTAATTTAATTGTTTTGACGTTTTCACGTCGTTTATACAGGTCGTGGCTTTATGCAGGTACAAATAATACTTATTTAATAAAAAAAATTTTTTAAATTAAAATCAATTTGAATTTTTTTTTTTTTTTTCGAACCTAAAATTTAAAATATTCGTTACTCGAATAATAAGTATGTTTGAAATAAATTTAACTAATTTACAAAATTGGTGGGCTTTTATGCTGATTATAATGGTGAGATCGTGATAAGGGGAACACCCTTACTCTCCTTTTTTTTCAATGGCCTCCATTAATAGTTAGTGCTAAATGTATTTAAAGGATCAGAATGAAAAAAAAAATAATAATAATAATAATAATAATCTTTAAAAAACTTTTGTTACGCATATGTAAATAAATAAAATAAAATAATTAATTGAATTTTACATTTAACTAATTTCTTACATAATTTTTTTTTTTTTTTTTTACCTTATTGTTGTTAAATATACTGTAAAATTTTTATTTACTTCAAAATAAAAAAAAAATTAACTGAAACTGAATAATTTATTATTTAATAAATTTTTTTTTTAAAGTTTTGAAACTAAATAAAATGCTTAAAAAAAAAAGGATTTTAAATTAAAAAAAAAAAATTATTTTATTTTGCTGTCATGAACTTTTATAATAATTTATTTAATATATATACATATATTTATTTATTTATCAATTATTTTTAAAAAGTATATGGAAAACTTTTTGGAACATTAAATAGAAAGTTGAATTTTATAATTAGGTCGAATTATGTTCCCAACTATTTAATTATCGGTTACAAATAACGGCGTAAATTTTTTAACACTTTTTTTATAAAATTTAAAAAAAAAAAAATTTTTTTCACAACTTATACTTACTGTCCATTTAAAAAGCTTTTTTTTTATAAAACAAATTTTTAAAAGTTATCCTGTAAACAAAAAATAATAATAATAAAGTGTTCAAATAAAATGGAATTTATTAATTTTTAATTGTCTATTTTAGAAAATTGTATAATTTTAATTTTTCACATAACAATTACAATTATTACATAACAAACATATACATATATGTATGTATATTACTTTTATCATTTTATTCAATTTCTTTTTATATGTTTTGCTTACTATATATATATTGACAATTTATCTATTTTATTCTCTGTAGATAATTTTACAAAATCATATGCATATATTTTATCACTTCAATTAATAATCCAAAACGTGTAAAAAATAGATAAGGAAAAATGTTTTTCATTATGTTTTATTTTTGTTTCTAACTTATTAATTTTAAAATGTTAAAAACAAAAATAATATTCAGTCGTGTATATTTTCATTTATAAAAAAAAAGTATAGTGATCAGCTGGTGGTAATTTTACATGGTGTTTGATATAATAATTAATAATATTAAAGCTAATGGTATGAAATTAGGATTCCGTTTATTTTATTAAAAGGTATTAAAGGTACGCAAGGTACAGTTAGATTAAAAGAATCAAAAATGGTAAATAATTGAGGTACGAGCAATTAGGTAAGCAATAAACATAAGAAAGATATAACGCCCATGGTAAAAAATAAACCGGTTATAAAAAAATCGATTATTATAGTAAATTTTAATTGTGATTATCAAAATTAAATTAAAATTAATTTTAAAAAAAAAAAATTGTAATTACCACCGAACTTTTACATATAGAAAAATTTTAAATTTCAAGTTGATATAATTATTATTTTTAATGTTACATAAATATTCTTAGTAATTGAAAAATTTTTTTTTTTATTTTGTATTCTCATGTAAATATTGTCAGTTTTGTTTGTTTTTTTTTTTTTTTTTTTATAAAATGCCAGATATACATTTGAATAAGAAACTCAAATTAAAAATGTATCTTTGGTCTCTATACAAAATATTTTATAATTTTTTACTGGTTTTAAATTGTTGTCAAAATTCAATTTTTATAGGTAAGTTAAAATAAATATATTATAAAATTTTTACTGATTTTTTTTTTTTTTTAGAATTATTCATGAAAGTGGTTTTACATCTGAAGACTTTAAACAATATAGACCAGTAGTTTACAGCAATACTATACAATCTTTGGTTGCCATTCTTCGTGCCATGCCAAATCTTGGTATAACATTTGGGAACAATGAAAGGGAGGTAAGTGTTGGTTATTAATAAAATAAAACTCTTGTGTAACTTTAAGTTTTTTTTTTATTTAACTTGGTAAATTCATATCAAAAACATTACACAAAATTAATAAATAAGATTAAAATATATCACGGTTAACACACATACACTATAAACACTAATAATTCAAAAATTCTAAATGAAATTATAAAAACCTTTTTTTTCTTTTTTTTTTTTTTTTTTTCTAATCTATTTGTCTGAAATTT